ACAAGAAGTCTCTACAACTTTAAGAGATGCTGCAAACACCAGCAGCAGCAAAATAAAAATCAGCAGAAACCAACTCACAACTTTGCCTGACCCCGTTCACCTAATTATTTCATCCAGGAAAGCACTTAATGACATTAGGAGATAATTAACTCCACAGACCAGCTCATGGCTCCACCACAAACCAACTCCTTTGAGCTCGTGGCACCAAAAAGCCACCAAAGAGCCACCCCCGGAGGACACTGGCATCGTCCTCCCTTAACAACAACCATGTTTACAGCCAGCCAGAGCCACGCTGGCCACCCCAAGCCCAATTGTCACCTCCTAGAGCCAGTGACATGGAGAGGGCTTGGCTGTCCCCTCTGCAGGGGTGACGGTGGCACAAAGCAAATGTCCTGTCCCCGAGCATCCTGAGCTGCACGGCCAGGACTCACCTTGTCTCTTGAGCGAGGAGGTGACAAGAGGTTTCTTCAGGCTGCTTTTCCTGGGGGTGCTGAGAGCCAGGTCCTGGGCCAGGAGAGGGCTGGTCGCCTGTGCCCCCAAGGGATGGGGGTCCCTGGGCACCCCCCTGTCACCTTCCCTGCCACAATTCCTCCATCCCCGCCGTGATTCCTCCATATCCTTCTCCAGGGACAGAGAAATCCCCTCTCTCCTATCACCACAGCTCTTAACACCATTCCTTATCTCTAAAAGACCCCCCCGGGACTCAGGGCAGGAGTGAGCCCCACACCCAGAGCCACTCCAAAAGCCCCCCTGGTACCAGACACAGCCCACGGGACAGCTATGGGTCCAGGAGGTCACAGTGGGGCTGCCTCTCCTGCTTTCAGTGTCAAACTGTGTCCCCTCTGTTCCTCAGAGCCTCCCACAGACACTCACACCAGGATTTATCTCCTGTTTCCTCTTCTTGGCCATGGTGGTAGACACCCCCCCCAGCCTGCCCCACAGATTTGGGGCTGCCCACCAGCAGTGGCACCTTTCAGACCTGGGAAAAAACAGACTCTGGCATTAAAAGCCTCTCCCCCACGTGCAGCAGCGATGTGAGGATGTGGGGTCTCCTGTCTCCCCTCCCCGCAGCAACGTTTTGCCCCCTGCAGATCTCCCAGCACACCCTAAACCTCCTCAGAGAAACCCCAAATCCCTCCCAGCCCCACTTCTTGGAGGGAACATTTTGCTAAGCAGTGACTTCAAGTCATTCACGTCACCCAGGTCGCTCTCCTCAGGGTGGATTTTCACCTTTGGGTGCCTACAAATAGGGTGGCGTTATCCAGGTGCACCTATCGGGGGGCACAAACCCCCCAGGGGGACAGAACCCCACAGGCTGCTGCCACAGGAGGGGGGTTCACACTGAGCTGAGCTCCCCCCAGTGCTGCTGCGGCCCAAAAGATACCCAGCTCCTGGCCCCAAAGAGGAACCACTCACCCCAAGCACCCACCGCAGCAAAACCCAGAGGGATCTGCCCTCACCTCCAGCTCCCCAGGCACAGGGAGCACCCCATTTGCTGGGGGGAGCACCCTGCTCTGCTCCCACAAGCCAGGAGGCAGCTACAGCCCGGAAGGAATCACCCCATCCTTGCAGAGGGAGGGGGCAGGAAATTAAAGCCCAGCTAACGAAGGGCTGATTGGGAGCAGATGCGAGCAGAGCCCAGGAGAAGCCAGTGGGAATGAACAGAGCTGGTGGAATCATATAATCAGAGAATGGTTTGGGTTGGAGGGGATCTTGAAGACCATCTAATTCCAACCCCCCTGCCCTGGGCAGGGACACCTCCCACCACACCAGGTTGCTCCAAGCCCCCTCCAACCTGCCCTTGAACCCCTCCAGGGATGGGGCAGCCACAGCTTCTCTGGGTAACCTGTTTCAGGCTCTCACCACCCTCACACCAAACAAGTTCTTCCCCACATCTCAGCTCCATCTCCCCTCTTTCAGTGTCAAACCCTTCCCTCTCATCCTATGGCTCCCCTCCCTGATCCAGAGTCCCTCCCCAGCTTTCCTGGAGCCCCTTGAGGGACTGGAAGGGGCTCTAAGGTCCCCCTGGAACCTTCTCCAGGCTGAACTCCCCAACTCTCTCAGCCTGTCCTCACAGTAGAGGGGCTCCAGCCCTCCCAGCATCTCCGTGGCCTCTTCTGTCCCTGCTCCAACTGGTCCATGTTGTTCTGATGTTGGTGGCCCCAGAGCTGGAGGCAGCAGTTCCCTATAGACCCCTATGGACCCCCAGAGACCCCTGTGGACCAGTATGGGCCCCTATGGACCCTCCCAGTTCTCTGTAGACCCCTATGGATCCCCCCAGACCCCTATAGACTTCTATGGGTCCCCCCCGACCCCTATAGACCCCTATGCACCACAATGGACCTCCCCAGACACCTACAGACCCCCCCAGACCCCAAAGGAACCCTCAGGCCCCTAAAGACCCCCCCATCTCCTGCTTATCCTCTTCCCTACCTCCCAGTGGCCGTGCTCAGGGCTGCCAGGTTGATCTCCGTAACACTCCCACTTATTTTTTGCTCCAGTTACTTCTAAAAGGGGCTGAAGGATGAACGAATAATCAGCTTGTCTCATTAAGAAGAGAAAAAAGTAGTGTTCGGAGGGCGTGGGAAGCCACTGGGTAAAAAGAAACATTGCTCTACCACGTCCTTATCGATTTTACTTCACCTAAGAACAGCTTAAAAAGAAACGTTGCTCTACCACGTCCTTATCAATTTTACTTCACCTAAGAACAGCTTTGGTGGAAATAGCCACAGGCTCCTTACGGAACGGGGCTGAGAGCTCTATTAAGCCTTGGAAGGGGCTGCCCAGGGCAGGGGTTGAGGCACCATCCCTGGAGGTGTTCAAAAGACGGGCTGACATAGCACTTGGTGACAAGGTTTAGCAATGGGCTTGATCAGAGTTGGGTTGATGGTTGGATTTAGATGATCTTAAAGGTCCCTTCCAACCTGGCCAATTCTATGATTCCTCGAGAGCCAGCTTTACCAGCTCTGCTGTTTAGGATCCATCCATTCTGCAGCATTCCTTCTCGGGGGTGAAGGCTGAGGGGTTAAATGCAGAGCGGGCAGCGTGGGTTGGGGGGGCTGCTGCCTCCCCAGGGCAGTAGGTTGGGATGGGAAGGTGGAGAAGGTGGTGGGCACTTCCAGAGCCAGAGGGCAGGCAGGGCTGCGTAGCCACGGCCCGAGGAGAAGGCTGGGGCTGAGTTTCGCTGTGCAGGCGAGAGGAGGGTTGTGGAGGGGGCTCTGCAGCCCATTCCCTTGGGTACCTTCCCAGGCTGGTGGCTCTCATTGCACAGCTGTGTCCTCCCTAGCCCAATCCTGGATGGTCCCGCTGCCAAAGGCGACGTAGAAGATCAGGCCAAACAGGTTGAGGGCTGCAGACAGGAAGAAGGCATTTCTCCAGCCAGTCTGGAGATTCTGGGAGGGCAAGAACACATCATGATGGTGTCACCCTTCCTTTTATCTCCACGTAGTGATCACCCAACTACTCCCACCCAGTTCACTGGCATTAAACTCATCTCCATCCTCCGCTTGCTACTCATACCAGCAACAGAAGAGCTTTGTTCAGCTCAAGACATATGCCAGACCCCCTCTTGCTGGAGAGGTATTTCCTGCCTTGGCATTTTTGGAACCACTCTGTGCTGAATTCAGGAAGCTTTCCTGCCTGGCACAGAGCTTCCCCCTCACCCAGCTCCCTCGACCCTCTCCCCATCTCTAAGTACATCCAGATGGGGCCCATGTGGAGCTCTTCCTGCTTTCTGAGTCATCCCTGTGTCCTCAAAACGGTCCCGAGCTCCGTTTGAGCGGGTGCTACCTCACACGT